AGTGTTCGCCGAAACTAGCTCGTCGAATAGAGCCCGTCGACGAGTGCTCCTCGATGGTCCTAATCGACCGGAACCTCTCGATGGGCTCGTCGACCACTGTCGTCGACCAGCGATGCCCGTCGACGACGTCGCCCGGATCCGGTCGAGCAACACTTCTGCTCGACCATAGCTCCAGCCGATCTGTTCGACGTCGCTCTGTCGAACAACACCATTCGACGAGCTCGTCGGTCAGCGTCCCTCGACGGACTCGTCGACCACCTAGATCAAATCGAACGTCGACCTCCCTCGTCGACAACTTCACAGTGGTCCCTGCAGGTCGACCAACTCCGTCAACCCGCTCGCCAAAGTCGGCGACGTCTACTGCACACGGTCGGCTGCACTTCTCGCGCATCCGACAACGAAGTCGGCTTCGCGGGCGGGGCCAACTCCCATCAACATAACTTGTCGTCGCCCACGGCATAAGCACATCTGTAGTCTTTTCTAAGCAGACGGCCTTGTTGAAGATTATTGGACGACTGCATCACACATCGTACCGTATCTCGTATTTCAAGCTGCTGATGTATCTATCGAGCCGTTCATCCGCCATGTCATCCACCAGATCAGCGGACACCATACTCCTAAGCGGAAGCCAGCTATGGCCAGGTAGGCAACTTCAAGCTAGCGTGTTCGGAGGCGGGTAGATGCTCGAAATGCTCTCGTAAGCCTACGCCCACTCCTTCCATGTGCGAATCGTGGTCACACCGCATTGTGATCATGCTCGTTGTTGGCAAATTCCGAAGTCCCGTTCGTCTCATGTGTCACACATGTCAAAGTCCCTAGTGTTTCCAAGGGTCGGTGACACCACTCTAGCGCTCGACCTCGAAGACGGAATATATCGTAACCAATACGCATGGCGGCGTAATTGACATTTGCACGAGTGTACAAGGCCCATGGTGAACAACTACCCCTTTACTGCTTTGTTTTTGGTCTATAGGGTTGGATTGGTGCTTGCTCGCGTATTGTTGTTACTGTAATTGTTGTCGACGATGCCGTGCGCATATCTTCTTCTTCGAAGTCAAGAGGTTGTTGCTCACCGCTTGACCTGTTCTCTCGCCTTCTTTAAGAGGCGGCTCCTAATGCTATTCATCTCACGTCTTTCATAGCTCCGTATTTTCTTCACGTATCTGATCCACTTCCGATATCAACGCCTGCATACTGGGTTTCATGAAAAAGACTGGATTCATCAACTTATAAGGCCACATATTCCATATATTATTGAAGACGTCGAATGTACAACTGGATATGATTGTTAGACAACAGTGCAAGCACAACAACTATCAAAGTTTGGCAGATTAAATTTAATAAGCTCAAAGCAAACTAATTTATAGTCCATCGTGCCAATCATACTTGTGCCATTCAACTACTATAGATAAGTGCGGTGAAAATTAGCTGTGCTATTTGGTCTTAAGAGTTGTTCAAAACGTGTGCGCCGAATTTATGACAATATGGACCGGCGATACATTGGGGACATAATTACTACAGTGGGTTAACATAATTGACGAAAACCTATATAGTTCTATCTTTGGTTCATGTTAAGAACGGAAAATGTGAAGGCAACGCGAGACATCCGTGGTATCTAGAAAGTCGGTCGAGGTTGTACGCGAAATATAACAAGGACCCAAAAAAGGAAAAGGGGAATTCCCTTGCACAAACACTCTGATTGACCGTCCAATATATTCTCACACCGCGTTTGCCGAGCATGTAGCGTTCTAATGTTGTGCTATTCTGTCAAATATTTGGGTATATTTATAGTGTTGTTTCACTCTGCTGACAAACGTATCTCTTGACTTCCCGCCAAGATCGCTGCCTGCATGTACCTACGCCGGCACAGGACGGCTGTCATCATTGTGCCGGCCCAGCTTGCTTAAGTTTTAGTTTGCCTCGTACAGAAAAATGTTTTCTACATTGACAGATAATATTCGGTGTATTTACAATCACAGTTTTATGAAAGGTTCCACTACCAGAACTTCGATGGCTTTTCAAGGGAGAAGCAAAAGCTGCCAAACGTACATCTTGACTTGAATTCTTCTTGGACGATTGTGTGACGTCCCGCCAAGATCGCTTTGTGTACATTTGTGTGCATACGCCGGCACAGGCCGGCTGAATCATTGTGCCGCCAGAGCTTGCTTAAGTTTCAGTTCGCCGCTTACCGAAAATGTTATCTACACTTACAGATGACGTGCTGTGTATTTGTGATATCAGTTTTTATGAAGGGGTTCATGGTTCCAACATGACAGAAACTTCGAAGCAAAGCTTATTTCAAGGGAGAAGAATACCTACTCTAGTGTTGCAAATGATGCCAACGCCGGCGTTGACCCGACGAACGTGTACACTCCCTCTTGGCTTGAAATATTGTTGGACGGTTGTGGGACGTCCCGCCAAGATCGCTTTGTGTACGTTTGTACCCCTACGCCGTCTCAGGCCGGCTGTATCATTGTGCCGCCGCAGCTTGTTTATGATTTCCGGTTGCCTCTTAGAAAAATGTCTATAGAAAAATGTCATATACACAGATGATGTGCTGTGAACTGTAGTTGTAATCTCAGATGAAAGGTTTCATTGTTCCAATTCGAAGCTAATGTTTTTTAAGGGAGAAGAATACACTCCAGAGGAGCAAAAGCTGCTAAAGCTTGCGGTGACCACTGACAAACTAGTCCGTGCATGTTGCTTTGGCGGTTCTGACGACAAGTGATGGGTACAGTAAATGCGCGAATTTTCTGTTTCGCCACAACGACACTTGATGTGATTTGGCATGTTTAATCGTGCCACCGCATCATGGCTGTGTGACCGTCTGCAACCCGTTTTCGTTCTTGATCGAGTGCCTTTCCATCACGCAAGCTACCCTAAAGTTTGATAATTCAGTTCTCAAGTCGTGGATAGAAAGCACGGGTGATACTTTCGCGCTTGTGCAATTATAGCACTGGTTCTGAACTCCAACCCGTTCTCTCGTGGATTCCTAGGCGTGTTTGAAATACACTTTGTTTCTGAAGATCGTCACCCCATACGGCAGTACGACAGGGAAGAGGATTTCCGTGAACATTTCAATCCGTTTGGGCTATCTCGGGAGGAGTATTTTTTCTTCTTTGTACAGTGATGTGTTTTGTACATCAAGGGCGGCGTGTGTCCCCCGTTCACTTCTTGTACAGTTGACGTTCTGATAAACCTCACGTGCTGACGTTTCGATCCAGCCACTTTTTCCAGGGGATACAGCTAATCTGTCTTGTACAGTACTTTTCTACGTACTGCTAATCTGCCACTTTTCTACTGTACTGTAATTTCAGCATTGTTGCCTGTACAGTTGCTCTTCGTTGTCACTGATCACGACGATCCACGAAACCATCTGGATTGTTCGCACTGTAGTGTGTTGCAATTTCTCCTGCCCGTAGTGTGTCACAGTGCCTGAATAGAACGCGAAGGACATGGGACTGAGGGATTCGTGTATTGTGCACTACAGTGCAAGTGCTAGTGATGACTCTTCGGCCATCTGATTGGTGAAGAATAGTTTGACTTTTGCCGCTGAAATCATCTTACCCAATCCGATCATTCAGCTACTGCCTGTCAGGTATCTATGCCGGGCCATGAAACTGTGCGGCGCTCAATCCGGCTGGTGCTGGCGGCGCCTCGTAAAATGGGCAACACAGTGAAGCTGACACGCCCTTGTCTGGTGGATAGTGGCGCATACTGGCAAAATGGCACAAAGTGGACACGTGTAAACACAAGGTTTGGGGGAAGTGACCCACCACTTGAGAGGTTCAGTGTATTTGCCCCATTTCGCCGTACAGATGGGATGCTTGTTTGGGAAGCCGGGGTAGATTAAATGTCGTGATTTTGTTTGAAAAAAAAAACAAAAACAGAGGAACTTCCACAACGAACTATGAACTGGCAGGCAGGAATAAAGGCGTGTTGCAATTCGCCGTGCACTACATCGGCTCGGCTCGGGGCATCGGTTTTACAGAAAAACGCCCAAAAACATTATATTTCCCAATGTAATCTTCGCAAATAACTCTTTCAAACTTTTAATTTGAAATTAGCTTCCCGAATCAGTGCCCTGGTTTCGCCTCCCGCCTGTCTGGAGCCTTCCAAATGTCCCGAGCCGATGCAGTGTATCGGCAATTGCAACACGTCCCAAGTGTTTTGGGGGACCCAAAGTAACTACTAGTTCTGTGCCACTGCATTGTTTCAGGCGGAGCTTTTCTTTCTCACGAACTACCGAGACTGCCACCGAAAGGTCGAGAAATGGGCGAACGGAATGTGAGAAAGGGAGGGCTGCGTGGGAGAGGGTTTGGTATGTACGTCCCTAGAGAGGGGGGTGGGTGGAGGCACAAGACATGAAGGAGCTTATTTTTGTTTTTTGCAAGATTCTCGCAGTCACTCGGTAAGGTAGTTTCTACTATAAAGTCCAGCCCCGAAAGAAAGGCTGGTGTGACCATTCCAAGCCCGAAGAGGGTGGTACAGTTCGCGAATAATGGATTTTTAGGATGGTGTACAAAACTCACTCTGAAATGAAGGCCAACATGGAAAAACGCCCTCAAGCTCCCAACCCAACACTCCATCCCTCAGACCCCCCCTCGCAACCATCCTTGTCTGAAACCTTCCTCCACACGGGAGGGCCAATCTGTGCTCCATCAAAAGGTACTCCAAGAGCTAAGTCAACAGGCCACCTGTTCCAAGTGCTAGTCAACACGGTTTTGACTGAAAGTGGTACTTGGTCGTTCACGCGGTGGAGACACGACTCAACGCAGCGCTTCTTTTTCACTCTCACCAGCCACTTGGACAGTTACTAGCTCTAAGTAGACTTTTGAGTCGGACTTTAAAATTACGGCGGGAGTACGCGGCAGAAGCTGCGAGTCAGTCGCGTCGCCTGTAATAACGCGGCGGAATCTCATGCACAGACATACGAAGTCGAAGCAGGCGTAGGTAGGCGTTGTAACGGACATCGTCAAAAATAAATTTAGTTCTCAGTCATGATTGCGGGCCGAAACACCAATTCAGTTATCAATAGATGCAGCATGGACGAGAAGCGTGTGCCAAAGCAGCCTGGCCCCCACGCCGACGGGCAGCGCCAAAATCAAGTTGTTGGAGCGATGCAGCGCGCGCGGCAAGAGGACCAAAAGCTCTCATGCGACCAACAAACCACGAGCGATCCAGCAACACCGTCATGGTCGTTGGAGGCTCACCTTCGTGGCGCGCGGCAGATCATGGAGGCAAGCTCTCTGACAGCATTCAATGGTAGCGCCCTGAACGCGAACAGCATGAAGGCCGCACTACCTGCGATACCAGCCTCTGGGACTGTATACCCTTCCTGGGGTTCGGGGTGGAAACAGGTGGCGCAGCAGACGAAACAGCAGCAGCAGCAGCAGCAGCAGCAGCAGCAGCAGCAGCAGCAGCAGCAGCAGCAGCAGCAGCAGCAGCAGCAGCAGCAGCAGCAGCAGCAGCAGCAGCAGCAGCAGCAGCAGCAGCAGCAGCAGCAGCAGCAGCAGCAGGGGCAGGGGCAGCAGCAGATGCAGATGCAAGCGCAGCCGCAACAGCAGAAGCATCAGCAGCAGAAGGAGGGGCAGTGGAAGGGGCAGCAGCAGCAGCAGCATCAGCGGCAGAAGGAGGGGCAATGGAAGGGGCAGCAGCAGCAGCAGCAGCAACCGGGGCAGGGACAGGGACAGGGGCAGGGGTTCATGCACCTGCTTACCAGACCCTTGGGAGCTGACCAGTTTGGCCAGGGGCAAACACCGCTGGTGACACAGCCCTACAGTCAGTCCAAGGATGTCCCCTCGGTACCAGCTTCGGCGTTAGTTCCGAAAGTGCACCTGCCATTCCACCCGCACGCGCAATGGGTGCAAGACACTCTGCATCTAGACCAGATTCAACAGCAGCAGGAGCCACAGCTACAATTGGAGTCTCAGCCAGTGCAGCAGCCACAAGGGCAGCTCAGGCTGGACCAACTGTCGGCGCAGCTACAGCCACTACTGCAGGGACAGGCGCAAGCCGTCACACAAGATATCGAAAGCCAATCCTCTCCGGAGTCCACACGCAAGCGCACCATACGCAGCCGGAACTACACCCAACCAGGGAAGTACCGTGGAGTGAGGAAGCGAGGGGAGGGTCGGTTCATCGCCGAAATAAAAGACACGACTTTCGGAGTGCGCAAGTGGCTGGGGACGTTTGCCACTGCAGAGGAAGCTGCCCTGGCGTTTGATCGGGCCGCAGTGCAGATTCGAGGGACAAAGACGAAGCTTAACTTTCCTGAGTTGTTTGGAGAAGACGGAGCAGCTGAACTGGCGCCTGCAGAACAAGCAGCTAACAAAAGGGGGAAAGGTTCTGCAGAGGAGGATATGGAAACGACTAGCCTGGGGGTGAGGATGTGTGTCGAGCAGGTCAAGCAGGAAACCACATGCCAATCAGGCAATCAGGCGGCAGCTGTGCGATTGGGTGAAAATGGAGCTTGCCAAAGGCCGTACGGAGAGGCAACGAATATGCTGTTACAGCCAGGGGGTTGCAAAGCTGTAGCGGCAGCACAAGCGATATCCGACACGGACGTGGTTGGGGTGGCGACGCGCGCCGATAGCAGCACTGTGAGTGGAAGCAGCTCGAGCAGAGCTGGCCCTTCCACCTCGTCTGCCTCCGCACCTGCTTCCATCCTCTCCCTCCCTCCGGCCATGTTTCTCCCTGGAGAGCCGTGCTCCAGCTTCAACGCGGACCATGGCGCTTCTGCAGGCCTGGCGCCTGATACGCTGTTCACAGAGGGTGTCGAAAGTGTGCTGGCTGCTGTTGCTGGTGCTGGCGTTGGTGATGGCGGTGTGAAGGAGGAATGCTTTCAGGAGGAAATCCTGTTGGAAGAGGTCAACAGTGGAGGTTTGGAGCCTTTGCCAGAAGCAATAGTTCAGAAGGAGAGAATGGATCTTGCAACTGAATTCGGATTTGATGCGGCGTTCCGGATAGAAGATCTGGCCTTTTATTTTCACTCGCCTCACCCCCATCCACAGCTCCAATCTTCACCACTACCATCGCCCCAGCAGCAGGGAGAATGGCGGTGGCATCAGCAGCAGCAGCAGCAGCAGGGGCAGGAGGAGCCGCAGCAGCAGCAGCAACAGCAGCTGCAGCAACAGCAGCTGCAGCAACAGCAGCTGCAGCAGCTGCAGCAACAGCAGCAACAGCAGCAACAGCAGCAACAGCAGCAGCAGCAGCAACAGCAGCAACAGCAGCAACAGCAGCAGCAGCAGCAGCAGCAGCAGCAGCAGCAGCAGCAGCAGCAGCAGCAACAGCAGCAACAGCAGCAACAGCAGCAGCAGCAGCAACAGCAGCAACAGCAGCAACAGCAGCAGCAGCAGCAGCAACAGCATCCACAGCAGCAACAGCAGCAGCAGCAGCAGCAGCAGCAGCAGCAGCAGCAACAGCAGGGGCAGGAGCTGCAGCAGCAGAAGCAGGAGCCGCAGCAGCAGCAGGTGCAGCAGGAACCACAAATGGTGCAGCAGAAACAGTCCATGCAGGATGAGAAGGTACCCCCGGCTATTCTTGCATCCACACACCCACTACAGTCGTGGGCCATCACTGCTGCCATGCCCCTCTCCGCATCCATGGCTCACCGCAGCAGCCCCCCACGCCGAGGCATGTCAAGTAAAACAATGGTGCGAGTGGAAGCAGCAGAAGAGCCTAGCGGCAGCACGAGCACTGGAGGCAGCAGCGGCAGTGACTGCAGCAGCAGCGGCAGCGGCAGTGGCAGCGGCAGCAGCAGGCCCATGGATTGCAGGACCGCCCCTCGACCAATATCTGAGGCAGGAGAGTCCAGCAAAGCATCCGAGCTTCTTCCACCTCATCATTCTGCTGCCATAAACGTCTCGTGGGACGAGTCTCCCCAAGAGGGTCAGCTGAGTGAAGGGGCTCAACACGTTGTGGCTGCATTGGAGGCGATGTTCCCCGGGCTGCCAGACCATGCAGACAAGGAACAGCCACCACGAGAGCATGGGGCGTCTCCATATGATGCAGTGCAGAATGAGATGCTTGATGCTATCATGCACACTGGAGGGCTGCTGCGTGGGATGAATCAGCAACACATGCATGAAGCGGTGTTGGGTCCGCCATGGGATCAGCCGCACGGTAGCACAGCAGTGCAGGCAGCATGGGACCAATCTGCGAGCGCATGGAGCACAGAGGCCGTTGGGAGTTTGGCTCTGAGCAACGCCGATCTGCTTGGCGTGCACGAGGCGCAAGGCATGGACGTGCCGTGGCACGGTGACGTGCAGTTCACTACTGCCGGCATGTCTGGTCTCTCTGGCACCGTTGAACAGCACCAGCAGCAGCGATGTCGACAGCAACAACAGCACAATCAGCAACATGATTACCAATAACAGTAGCCGCCACTGCCATAGCCACAGTAGCAGCAGCCACCCCAAGATCCTCCATGTGCACAGCAGGGAAAGATGGTCCTGCTATCCGCCAAGCAGGTGGTGGAGCCAAGCAACGCCCCTCACGAGCTACCATGTCAGACTTGCCCTGAGCCTCAGAGCCAGGAGACCTACAGTGTATCATGCTGGAAGTGGTGGGGGTGGTTCCGGGGTTGATGCGGATAGGTATGGAACTAAGGACCCCAACCTTTCCCCCCTTCTCCACTCGCTGTGGGTCGATTGTCGACCTTCATGGGGGAAAAAGTCACAATTGGTAAGGTGGGCCTTCGTGAGGCAGGTGGAGCGTAACGCTTCGCATGCACCAGTGTGTGAGCGTCATTTATCACCAGGAATGCATGCCCAAGTGGTGTCGGATGAGAATCTGCAGCCAACGGAGCTGCACGCACAGCAGATGTTCCTAGTGGTCCTTGATTATATTAGAAATTGATATTCACACATCTATAAAACCGGAAAGCTGTTCATAAATATCTATTGGGTGCAGCAAATAACACATTCAGCGGAAACACCATTTTGTTTATTTAATCACAACCGTTACAATCTGTAGTAGAGGGACTTAGTCACGATCATACTTCAAAGCCGAGAGGTGGATGACTTCAGAAGCGTAGGAACTGCGTCATGTTGTGGTTTGTGGTGATATCAACGCATCTTTCCAGGCTTTTCTCGAACAACTGATCGTTAAGAGTGTTGCTTGTTCCAGTGTAAAGCAGGTTGTCGGCGTAGATGAGCAGGATGTAGTCACTGCAGAACTGCAGGCGGTACATTTCAGGGGCATGTGGCAACTGCGAAAAGCGGATTTTAACAGGGTCTTGTGCAGGTGCTGCTGCCACTTTCAAGGCGCGTGCTTGATCCCATACAGTGACTTCTTCAGCTGGCACACCCTGGAATCTCCTTCGCCGTGGGTGTACGACTGCTCCACGTAGATTATGGCGTCGACCAATGCGTACAGGAACGCATTCTTCACGTCGATATGTCGAAGTGGGAGATGCTTGGCGGCAGTGATGGCGAGCAAGATCCGGACGGAGATATGTCGACTGACAGGGGCGAACGTTTGGTCGAAGTCAATCCCGTGGCATTGGTTGTAGCCGTGCACAACCCATCGTGCCTTGAAGCGCTCGATTGAGCCATCAGCGGCAGTTTTGACGCGGAAGACCCACTTCCCCGAGAGCACTCTCCTTCCTTTCACTGCGACTCGATCCACATGGACCCAGGTTTCACGAGACTCCAGCGCTTTAGTTCCGCATCCATGGCTGCTCGCCATTCCCTGCTGTGGTGTGGTAGAATAAGCAGGCAGGAATGCTTGTATTGAGAAGGAAGGGCAGTACAAGTAGTCCTAACCCTAGAGTGTTGTACCCCTTGTAGGCTAACCCACTATAGCCTAGAGATAACACAAACATACAGTTTGACACACCCCCATAGGCTAAGTGGGAGATAGCAAACACAACAGACAGTCACAAGACCAGTCAAGCAGGAGAACAAAGCAAAGCAAAGCAAAGCTCAGGGTGGATCTCAAGGACACCACACAATCTGAGCACAAGCAAGCGGCCACAAGGCCATTTCACATGCAGAGTTATAATAGCAAGGCAGTACACTGATCACAACCTAGCAAGAGTAAACATGCAGGAATAAATATATATATCAGTGTACAACAAGAGCAAGTCAAGCAACCAGCAGGTGAGGCAGAGTGGGCACAAGCCCAAGAGCAGTGCAGAAACGCTGATGATCACCAGACCCAAGGGCCTTGGTGAAGACATCAGCAGTGTTGGCCCGAGAGGCCACGTAAGCAAGGCGCAGCTGACCGCGCTGCTGCAGCTCACGCGCAAGGAAGTAGCGAAGAGCAATGTGCTTCGTTCTGTGCTCCAGCCTCTGCTCGCGACACAAGGCAAGCATTGCCTTGTTGTCGACGTACAGAACTGGAGGAGAACAAGGCCGCTCCCCCAAGTCGGTCAGCAGGTAGGTCAGCCAGCGTAGCTCCTGTGCAGCCATGGCCCCAGCGTAGATCTCGGCCTCACAGCTGGAACCAAGCACAGAAGAAGAACGAGTGGACCTCCACGAGACAGAACCAGCGCCAAGACTGAAGGTGTAACCCTGTGACGAACGCTGAGTCGCCTGGTCGTCGGCCCAAGAAGCGTCAGAGTGTCCAGTGAGTACCACTGAACTCCGTCCTCCAAGCACAAGCTCCATGCCCGATGTACTGCACAAGTAACGCAGTACCCTCTTCGCAGCATCAAAGTGCACGGACCACTCGGCTCTACGGACTCGTCCGAAGGTGGAGCTCAGAGCGAGTGGCCGGTAGATAGAGGGGTGGGCTGTGGCGAGGACCACGTGAAGCCGAAGCGCTGAAGGACCTGGTGTACCATGTGTGACTGAGTGAGGTTGATGGTGCGCCGTGCTCTGTCCCGGGTGATCTGCAAGCCAAGATAGCTCCGCAGCTCACCCAGGTCAGTGCAGGTGTGTCTCTCCTGCAGCTCCGCCTTCACTAGGGCCAGTGCCACAGTGTCAGCAGTAGCAAAAACCAAGTCGTCGACGTACACGAGGATGTAGAATGCCGGCAGAGTAGTGTCGGTGCGTAGAAACAGCGACGGGTCAGCAGAGGAGGGAGCAAACCCAAGAGCCGCAAGTGTCGTCCTCAGTGTGTCGTGCCACTCGCGGGGCGCCTGACGCAGGCCGTACACTGGTCGCCGTAGGCTCCACTGGGTACCCTCAGGAAACGACCCAGTGAAGCCCTCTGGACGGCGCAACCAGATAGCCTCGTGAAGGCTACCCTGCAAGAAAGCTGTCGAGAAGTCGAGGGAGTGCAGCTCGTAGTCACGCTGAGCTGCAACGTGTAGCAACACCCGAAGAGTGGTCATCTTCGGGGTGGGGGAGAAGGTCTGAAAGAAGTCGACCCCCGCACGCTGACTAAAACCTCGAGCAACGTAACGTGCCTTGAAGGCAGGCGGAGAACCCGGCGGCCGCTTCACCCTGAAAATCCACATGCCACTGACGATGTTCGCCCCAGGTGGGGGAACCTCGTCGACGTAGGTGCCTGTGGACTTCCAGGAAGCCATCTCTGCGTCCATGGCTGTCTACCACTGAGAGGAGTACTCACCCGAAATCGCCTCTCTGTAAGAGCGCGGGGTGGGGATGTCAAGTGCATCCGGGTTTCCCTCAGGGGCAAGCAGCATGGTTGCGAGATGGGGTGCTGTGGCCGCAAGGCACTCCAGCTCCTCCTGTCTGTCCTCAAGAACGTCACAGCCAAGGGCAGTACAGCCAAGGGCAGTCTCACCCCCGACGGACGGAGGACAGGCGGGGACAGGGTCAGAAACAAGACTCGCAAGGTAGTCTAGGCGGTACACAGCAGCAAAGTCAACGAGCTCAGCGACTAAGGCAGACGCAGCAGGAGACGAGAACGAAGGGTCAGTCACCACCGTAGCAAGAAAGCGAGTAACAGTCGGACTGGACGCACGAGCAAGGTCAGACGGAGGGTCAGCAACGTCAGGAAGAGAGGACGCAGGAGGTAACGGCAGGACAACACGCTGTGGAACAGAGGAAGGACGGAGTGTCATATCGTGAGTGCCCGGGACAGCCGGAGCACGCTGACGACGAACACGAGGAACACGAGCACGGACAGCAGCTCTAGGCTCGGGCTCACGGTCAAAGCTGGACTTAGGCTCTCGACGCTCAGGGGTAGAAGCACGAGTCTCAGGCTCTCGACGCTCAGTCAGGGACTGTGTCACCGCAGTCTAGGGAGCAGGAGCAGGCAGTGGGGAGTGCGGTAGCAGCTGCGACTGTGACTGGTCTGCCGGTGGAAACAGTAACGGAGGAGTAGTACCTGCCACAGGGAAGTCAGTAGCACCTGGCGGAAGACTGAGAAGGTGGCGAAGAGCACCAGCAGCTCCCGTACCTCCAGCACGAGCAGCTCCACCAGCACTCCCAGCAGCACCTCCAGCACCAGTAGCACCAGCACCTCCAGCACCTCCAGCACCTCCAGCACCAGCAGCACCACGAGCTCCGGCAGCGCCAGCACCTCTAGCACCAGCAGTACCTTCAGCACCTCCAGTGCCAGCAGCTCCAGTAGCACCTCCAGCACCAGTAGTACCACCTGCTACGGCAGCTCCAGCACCTCTAGTACGAGCACCTCCAGGACCAGCAGCTCCAGCAGCTCCAGTACCTCCAGCTCCAGCTCCAGCGCCTCCAGCACCAGCAGTACCTCCAGCACCAGCAGTACCTCCAGCACCAGCAGCACCACCTGCTCCGGGAGCTCCAGCACCTCTAGTACGAGCACCTCCAGGACCAGCAGCTCCAGCACCTCCAGTACCTCCAGCTCCAGCGCCTCCAGCACCAGCAGCACCAGCACCTCCAGGGTCAGTAGCTCCAGTAGCACCTCCAACACGAGCAGCACCACCAGCTCCGGCAGCTCCAGTACCTCTAGTACGAGCACCTCCAGGACCAGCAGCTCCCGCAGCTCCAGCACCAGTAGCACCAGCACCTCCTGTGCCAGCAGCTCCAGTACCCCCAGCACCTCCAGTACCAGCAGTACCTCCAGCACCAGCAGCTTCAGTACCTCCAGCTCCAGTACCTCCAGTACTAGCAGCTCCAGTACCTCCAGGCAGCTCCAGTACCTCCAACACCAGCAATACCTCCAGCACCTCCAGCACCAGTAGCACCTCCAGTACCTCCAGGCCTAGCAGCTCCAGTACCTCCAGCACCAGTAGCACCTCTAGAACCTCCAGCAGTACCTCCAGGCCTAGTAGCTCCAGTACCTCCAGCACCAGCAGCACCTCTAGTACCTCCAGCTCCAGGACCTCCAACAGGGTCACCCACAACTCCACCGCCACTAGGACTCGCAGCACCCCAAGAGTCAGCACCCCCAGTCTCAGCACCCCCAGTCTCAGCACCTGTAGTCTCAGCTCCAGAGTCCACAGCAGCAGGCTGCGGAGGCGGCGAAGACGGTCGAGGCGGAAAACCCGGGGGGGTCTCCAAGCGTGGAGAGCGGCGAGTGGCCGCCGTGTCGTCCGCAACTGGGTCACCCCCCTCAGGTGGGCCAGAGGAGTCAGAAGAGGTCTCCACTGGCTCATCCAAGGGGGGTGGGTCGACCTGAGACACACCTGAG